TGTGCGTACTACAAAACAGGGGGTAGTGGTATATCGCTGTACGGCATGCAGGAAGAAACGCAGCACCATCACTATAGCAGTACTGAACATCCTCACTTTTCACTGTAGGCACTCGTGTAGCCCGGTGTTTTAGGTTCAGAATCAATGTGAGTTCATCGGAGACCCTGTTGAACTTCCTCATATTTGCACTCCACTGAATAATGCGCAGGACAAGGTGACACGAATGGTATACCAGGTAAAGATATTTACTGTCAGGCTGCGTTTATAATTTGCGTCTGCGTCCACTAGAGACTAACAGCGTTTTGAGCGTGCGCCAACGCCAGCGACTGAGAAAGTATAAATATCGATCTAGTGAACGCCAGCGTCTACCACCGTTCATGGGTGGAGAGTATGAGGAAGAAGGAGAAGGAGGGTCAGCCGTCTTGTAACTGTGGCGGTGTAATCGTACCGTGGAACTGCTGAAGTTTTAGTTACGTGCTGGTTTTGATTTGGTGAAGTGCAGCTGCGCGGTTGCACGGGACACAATTTCACGAATCCTATTACACCTTTCTTCCACCGTCCATCTTCCCCCTACCCATCTATCCTAGAGCGCGCTCAGATTTGCTATCGCGCAATCCAGTTTGCGCGATCGCGAAGTCTGAACGCGCTCTTACTCTCCACTCTAGGAAGCCGGTGAACGGTGGTAGACACTAACGTTCGCTACATCGATATCAATACTTTCCTAACGCTGACGAAGGCGCTAGCCTACCCTCGAAAGTCTGATGGTCGCTGGTGGACCCTGAAACAAGTCATGAATGCAGCCTCAGTATTCACTATCACACTCAGCAAAAGGAACTCATTTAGTCATGTCGAGCAATTGCAAAAGAGCCACAACTTGCAGAAGCAAAACCTAATGAGTTGTGGAAGAGTATAGCTCAGTTCATCGACGAGAATGCCCCTGAAGGTTAAGTGTTTTTGACACGACCAACACATAAAGTTAGTTATTCAACTGATTCAGATGAAGCTCAACGAAACGAGATGTTGAAGCACTTTTACAGAAACGGGTATAAGTCTAGAAGGAAAACAATTGCAAGGTATGAATTGTTACTATTGTAAGTGAAATTTTTTTTGTCTATAAGAATGCCTATCCAGAGCAGCAGCAAGGCTCCACCGTGCCGTTGAAGGGAAAGTGGAAGAACGAGTGAACGAAATGGAAAATTCAGTAAAGAAGGAACCTGAATGTTGAACACATAAAAGAGGCGCCAAAATTTTCATTGCAAAAGACTCAAAAGATTCAAAAGAATCCAAAAGTTTTCGCAAAAATTATTATTGTTTATACTGTAAAGTACAATTGTGTACTATATGTACTGTAAAAAATTGTTTACACTATAAAGCACAATTGTGTACTTTAAGTACTATAAAGTATTGTTTATACTATAAAGTATAAACAATAAATTTTTGCGAAAACTTTTGGATTCTTTTGAATCTTTTGAGTCTTTTGCAATAAATTTTGGCGCCTCTTTTATGTGTTCAACATTCAGATTGCAATGAGGCTCTGAATTCTAAGTTTTTTAAGGAAAGACCATTGTCGTAGTCTCCGTGAGACACTTACAGTGGATTTTCTACATAATTTAGTCAGTTTTAAGAACGTCTGACAGCAGCACTCTCCAGTAGTTGAATTTTTTTTTGTTGGAATGCCTATAGGTATGAATTCGTGGCAAATGATGCTAAAATTGTATTAAAGCTTGAAAAGTTTTCACTTCTCTGTACATATGGTGACAGCTAACGCTTACTACACATCAGACAGTGTTTGAATCCCTTCTGAGGGCTTTAATATGCACTCTGTCATGCGATTAGGTGGAGGTGTGTTACAAATCGATGTTTTCTGCACTATGATCAGTTTGTTATTTTTTGCACTATGATTTCTTTTAACGGTCTTGATAAAGTCAGCTAAGCATTGCCTTCTTGCGTGTGAGTTTCAGTTGTTGCTCTGTCTTACCACATCCAACAAAGTGGAAAACTTTTCCTTCCTGAATTCTTACGATAACTGCTGTTTGACGCCGCAGTTAGCGCTCCGGAAGTTATCACAAGAGTGCTGAGCTAAAGGCAGAAGTCTTGACCCCAAACCGGACTTACCTGCGCACGTCACGCCTCCTTAGCTATCTATGCGCCACAAGCATCCCTTCACGCCTGTAGTCAAGCTTCTACCCATTGCTCAGCATTCTTGTGACTACTTTTTTCTTCT